GATTAACAGGCGTTGACTTAGTCATAGTGTACTAAAAGACAAAGGGATCTATAAACTTACTTGGTCTGGAGTTTTCAGTCTTCTTGCCCCAATTCCAGAAGAAAGCTCGAGTAACGTTGAGGTTCTTGGAAGTAGTAGATCTTGATCGGGAGAAGAAATCTGGACCGTTAGATGAGATCCCAAGGTTTTGGAAAGATCTTGAGAAACCAAGAAGAGAGCTTCTATGAGATTGATGATTACGGGAGAGATTGTTGAGAGTTGTCATAGAGATGGATTCGAGAGACATAGCAGCAGAAGAAGAAGCCATTGATCAAGAAGACTTTTGAAACTTTGATATTAAAGAAGAGATTGAGATTTGGTTTTATGGTTGTTGAGTTGAGTGATGAGTCTTTTTATATTGGACGATGATGAAGTTACACGTGCGTATATGTCAAAAGATGCTTTGTGTAGTTTCCACTCGGTTTCGATGGTCTAAAAGCGTTAGCTAGAGAATTTTATGTATTTCTTATTTATTGACTTAAAACGGTGTAACATTCATTATTAAGGAGTCATAGATCTCAAAGTACTGGGAAGATACTAAAATAGTCAAAAGATATAAACGTAGCCATGTGGCCCATGTTTTTAAACTCTTGTTGATAAGATTGTTTTAGTGAGATATATAACGGAAAATATGTCATTTAAATCATTTTCTCATTTTCGTTGGTTTAAAGCATAAATTCTGAATCTGGTAATTTAAATCCTTAATGTTATGTGGACCTGATGATTTAAATCCTTAATTTTATGTTGATTTTCAATTTAATCACGAATTCTCATTAACTAAGTCAATTGAGGCATATCGTTAACTTGCTAAACAGAACAATCTGACGAAGAGTAAGATGAAAACCATGTTGGTGTAGAAGAAAAATTATGTGATGGCTTCGAAGTACCAGTTATGCGATGACATCGTCTTATTGATTCGTTTAGCCAGTTAGCGATATGCATGCCTCAATTGGTTTTGTCAATGAGAATCTATGATTAAAATGAAAATCAACATAAAATTAAGGATTTAAATCACGAGGTATAGAGTTCATGATTTAAACTAACGAAAATGGTAAACCGGTGATTTAAATGACATTTTTCCCGATATATAACATGGTCGGTTGTGTCAAATTATCGTGTACACACAAAGTATTTTAAATTGCACTACAAAATAGTATGACCGTATGACTGTTACTTTTCGAACAGGTCCGGCCCAAAAGATGGGGTAAAGGAGCGACGGTCCAGAAATAAAATCCAACAAAACTCGTCAATTCCGCTAACATTTTAGTGTAAATTGGTTTTTTTTTTTTTTTTCTCAACTTATTTTCCTTCCATCCATTTCTCCGCCAATCTCTTCTTAGTATCATCTATCGCCGTAAATAATTATCATTGTCAACTTTACTATTATGGTCTTCTTCTAGTTTTTATCAGCAACTCCTAATTGGTATTTGATGGAAAACTCACAACCACTGTCAACTATTTGTAAAATGAGGAGTGTGACATGTAGATCATTAACTTCGCCATCAATGTCAACCATATTCTCCTCCTTGTCATCAAATAGCATCACTAGAATTTTTTTTATTTTTTTTTTTATTTTTGGTAAAATGTTAAAGTATTTATATATCATTTTTAAATTTGTAACAGGGATTAATGAAAAAACAAGGAAAACAGGAAAATAAAAAAAAAATACAAATAAAAGAACTACCAAACAAAATAAAAAATACAACAAAGAAAGCATCTCTAGAATTTGATGAACATTCACTTACATGTTACATTTTACATTATAGGAGATTGTAAGTCAACCACTTATATATCAAAAATCAACCAATTTCTTATAGTCAACTTTACCTTAAAACTGCTTTTTAATTGCATGTATTTTTCGTAGCAGTATTAATTGTACTCCTTTACATTTATCGGGGCATGACATCTAGATCTTTTTATTTTTTTGACACCCGAAAATCTTCTCTCGATCAAAATGATACAATTTTTTCGTTTCGTTGTTTCTTGGATTTGTTAAGATATGATTAAAAATGATATTCCATAGGAGACGGTTGAGCTGCCATTTAAGATATACTATAGTTTAAATATTTATAAGTTATTTTATTTGAATTTTTAATGCAATACATAATATCATTTTTTCTAACTAAACAACTTTAAATTCAAAATAATTGAGATTGAGAAGGGATTGCAAAGACTTTTCATCACATTCTTCTAAAAATAATCTGTTCACAAATTTTCTTGATATTTTATTTCAGACGGCAAAAAAAAAATACTAGAGATATTATTCCCCAAAGATTCTATCATCACACAACGACACAAGAAACATATAGGACAAATTATATGCATTAGTTGGTATAGTTACTTATAACTCCGCTAGGCTCAAGCGCCTTAGCTTCCGGCGCCGGCTCCACGTCCTTAGACGGTGGTACCGGCGTTCCGGTAAGCTCTAACGGCAAATCATTAGCCAACCCTTTAAGGTAAAAAGTGTAGAACAGTTTTGTCGGATACACAAGCTGTTGAAGCTTAACCTGTCCGTACGCACCTTCAAAGATTCCAGCTCCACCAGTGATGGCGAGGAACGAGTCCTCGTAAGTCAAGTATGGTCCTTGTACGGACAAGTGGCCATAGTCTCCGAAGTAGAAGCTGTAAGTAGCTTCAAATCTATCACCGTTCTTCTCAGGGACGTGTTCAATCACGACGCAGAGACCTGCCGTGATGCCCACGCGTTTCTTGAGATCGCCGGTGTAGAGTTTGTTGGTGAATGGAACAAGATCTCCGAGACCGAACATTAAGCTGAAGGCGTTTTTAAGAATCTTGGGGCTGTGTCGATCTAATTCGTTGATTTCATACACACTCAGTTCTTGAACTTTGCCTGGAAAAAAAAAACTCAATTTGTGAGTTGGGTTCATGATTTTGAGATCACGTTTGCAAATTTATTAAATAGGTTTGTGGTTTGGTCTGTGAAATTATATATTTAATCAAGTTTGAAATGATATAAAAAGACCTAATTTTGTTGTTCCGTGAGCTTCAATATAATTCTTTTAGAAGAAGAAATTTGAGGACGAAAAAAGGATCAATTAACTTACTTGGTCTAGGGTTTTCGATATTCCCGTTCTGGGAGAGAGTAGCTCGAGAAGCAGTGAGGTTCTTCTTGGGAGTGAAACTTGATGGAGAGGAAGAATTTGGACCGTTAGATGAGATACCAAGATTCTGAATGGATTTAGAGAAACCAAGAAGAGAGCTTCGATGAAATTGTTGATTACATGAGAGATTGTTGAGAGTTGTCATAGAGATGGATTGGAGAGACATTGCAGAAGAAGCCATTGCGCAAAACAATAAAGACTAGAGAAGAAACTTTGACTTTATTGAATCAAGGCTATTTGATGAAGAGATGGGACTTTTACTTTATGTGGTGAGTGATTTGAGTTCTACGAAATGTCTCTGTTTATTTATAGATGAGTGATGATTGATGAAGTAGCACGTGCGTAAATTTCCAAAAGTGGGTCTCTAACTAAAGATGCTTTGGGAGAATTTGGATTTGGTTTCCATGGTCGGAACGTGATCTAGGCTTTGGGTCTTGGATCTAAGTTGAATACTTTTGGCCGGTCCCTAAACTACAAAAAATAAAGATAAAAAACGTGCTAAATGTAATGAATCTAACTGTATATTTGGCCCGGATACATGTATGTAAAATTGATTAAATTATTTTATTACCAGTGAAAAGATTTATGCACCAAAATCACATTTTTTTAAAAAACACCAATACTTAGATTAATTAAACGATGTTTTCAGCATACACTGATAAGATAATCTTAGCAAGAGAATCTCCCTCAACATTGGATGCTCTTGGAATGAAAAACTTGATGAAGAGTATATAGAACATTGATTTTGATATCTGGTAGTATGCCATAAATTTCAGGCAGACCATGATAAATTGATAGCTTGGACCACGCTTCGATAGTCTGACCAATGCGAAAATGCGGGAGCTTCATCTCCAACGCCATCGCGATGGACCAAAATCACATCTAAACTAGGTATTTTCATTATTACTAGAAAATATATCATCTCTCAACTAATATTTGTTAATGTCTGACTTTTACATGTAAAAACATTTTTTGGTTAAACATAAAAGTTCCAGGTAGTACTCAAAGTTAGACTTTAGATTCCACAATTTAAAGAATAGTCTTTTGTACCAAATATATATTAGCACTAGGCCCACCATCCCTTTTGTATGTAAAGGTATCTTTGCAACCTATAAATTGGCTGGAGAAGGAACTCGAAAGTTGGTTGTCTGATTTATCCACAATATTCGGGTTAAACTGTTGGTTTTTTTCCAAAGCTTGGTGCCTATCCAGCTTTTTTTTCTTAGTATAATTTTCTTGTTCTTGAGATGAGTGTACATCACCTCCTTGATGAAATCGGGCGAGGATGGAAGCTTTATTTGATCCACCAACATGATCATCTTTCTTCAATCTTAGGTTAAGACCATGGTACGCCTTTTCTGAAGATGTGTTTTCTTGGAATTTGATAATATAAGGTAGCATTCCATGAAATTTTCTTATTGGTAATGTGTATGGACAACACCGAACCCTAACTCCAACGCCATCGCGATGCACCAAAATCACATCTAAACTAGGTATTTTCATTATTAACTCCTATAAATGTATTTGTGATGGTGTGTGGAAGGTCTATAAAAATTTAGCAAATTTGGATTAGCAAGGGCTAACTCGTTTGGTTGGAGGATGTGCCATGTCGAGAGTCACCTCAGGCTTAGATTTGTATATGGATATTATAAAATGGGTAATCAAGTGTATAGATTTGTATATGGATGTTATAAAATGCAGCTTAGACTTTGAGAACGTTTTCTTTAAATCGGATACACGTGAAGCAGTTCAAATCTTCTCAAAATGACATGACCCTTTATCAAAAAACAAGGAAAAAAAACATGTGACATGAAGAAGATATTTTGTCCCCCAAAAGGCTAAACTCAAAATTAAAGATTCTATTAGAAGTATTTTTCAACTCAAACATACTTCATTCAGACTATACATACATATTATTCGATTACAAGAATAAGAGTATATAAAAAATTCGTTATGAAAAAAGTTATTATACTGGACAAGAGAAAGATAAGACTAATTTTATTCACTAATTTGTAAAGTTGCTTACAACTCCACTAGGCTCAAGCGCCTTAGCTTCCGGTGCTGGCTCCGCGTCCTTAGACGGAGGTACCGGCGTTCCGGTGAGCTCCAACGGCAAATCATTAGCCAATCCTTTAAGGAAAAAAGTGTAGAACAGTTTTGTCGGATACACAATCTGTTGAAGCTTAACTTGTCCGTACGCACCTTCAAAGATTCCAGCGCCACCAGTGATAGCGAGGAACGAGTCCTCGTAAGTCAAGTACGGTCCTTGAACGGACAAGTGACCATAGTCTCCGAAGTAGAAGCTATAAGTAGCTTCGAATCTTTCACCTTTCTTCGGGACGTGTTCGATGACGACACAGAGACCTGCCGTGATGCCTACGCGTTTCTTGAGATCGCCGGTGTATAGTTTGTTGGTGAATGGGACAAGATCTCCGAGACCGAACATTAAGCTGAATGCGTTTTTAAGAATTTTTGGGCTGTGTCTATCTAAATCGTTGATTTCGTACACGCTCAGTTCTTGAACTTTACCTGAAAAAATGAATCAATTTGTGAATTGGGTTCTTGATTTTGAGATTTAATAAAGTTAAATTTAATGAATTTAGCAAATTTAATGAAGTTAGCAAATTTATGAAAATGGGACATTAATTTTAATCTATGTATAACAAATTTGTAAATATATCAAAAATAGTTTTTGAAAAAGCTCTGTTTATATGAGTTTTTCGAATCTTAGCACAAAATGATCAAGAAGAAAATAACTTACTTGGTCTGGGGTTTTCGGTATTTCCTAAGTCCTGGGTGAGAGCTCGAGTAGGAGTGAGTTTCTTCTTGGGATTGAAACTTGATCTAGTGGAGGAATCTGGACCGATAGAAGAGACTCCAAGATTTTGGAAGGATTTAGAGAAACCAAGAAGAGAGCTTCGATGAAATTGTTGATTACATGAGATATTGTTGAGAGTTGTCATGGAGATAGATTGGAGAGACATTGCAGAAGAAGACATTGCTCAAAAGAAAAAGAAAAAAAAAAAGACTAGAGAGAAGATACTTTAAAATGATTTTTTAAGAGATGGGACTTTGGTTTTATGTGGTGAGTGATTTGAGTTCTACGAAATGTTTGTGTATATATATAGATATTGGATGAATGATTGATGATGATAAATGGTGAATGGTGATAAAGCTAAATATCCCAGAAATGGGTCACTAACGAACGATGCTTTGGGGGATTTTGGATTTGGTTTCCATGGACGGCAAGTGGTTTGAGTGTTAGAAAATGTGGGAAATGGTCCAAGTTTTTGGGTCTTAGCTTTGGTCTAAGTTGATAGACTTTTGGCCGGTCCCTAAACTACAAAAAGAGAAATAAAAAACGTGCTAAATGTATCCAACTATATTTTAACTACATATGAAGCTTTGAATTCGTTATTCTAACTACATATTAATTGGCCCACATTATAAAGAAATAATATTTTAGATAGCCATGTTTTAGATGAAAATAAAATATTTGGCATCTTATGTATGTGTATAATAAAATGCCTCTCTGTTAGACATGATGATTTTATTTTATTTTCTTACTTTTATTCTATATGTTATTGTGTGTAATTGACCAAAAATTTTAAATCCGAATTAGCTTATTCTATGTTTTTTTTTCAATATAAAATGATGTGTTCGCTTGTAATTAATCATATGGTTGGTTTCTTGTAATGCTTAATATGTATAGGGTAAACTTGTTAATTTTTTTTTGTTTAAATCTTTAATCATACCAAAAAAACAAAAATATTTTTTCTAGGATCTCGTGAACCATTCTCCAAGACTACTAAATCGCATCCACAAAGAAAACATATAAAAACGCCAAAACGACATCGTAAGACTGTAAGTCTTAGAAAGCAACAATTTACAGCACCGTAAGAAACGACGCCGTGTTACGCGGCCATTTGATTTTAAACGACGTCGTATGTATATTAATTTCGAAAAGAAAAAAGAAAAAAGAAATAATCTCATAATTTTGAAAAAGATCATTGTGTTTAAGCGAGTTTGTGTGAATAAATTAGCCGTTTTCAACGGTAACTTAATTTTAAAACGGCTAGATTTTTGAATTCTAATTCTGTAAATAAATACCTCGATCGTCACTATAAATATACTCAAATCTTTTACAAAGAAATCAAATAATTTTCATTTTACTTCTCTGTGTTTTTTAAATTATTTGCATATCAAAATCATTCTCATGAAAAGAAAATGTATCAGGCACAAAGACCAAGAAGACCCACAGCTTGACTGAATGAGCTCCTTTCACCGGCGTTCCTCTTCCGGCAGCCTCCTCTTGTGATTGGAGTTTGCTTCTAAGATTAGATCTCTCAGGTGGGCCTCGTTTTCCGGTGACATGGCAGTTTTCCGGCGAGTTTACTACCTGAGATGGCTCTCTTTTCTCTCCCGATGTCAAGTCTCTCTCACTGTTTCCCGATTTGTTCGGTCCCCTACCGTGGTCTGAGACCTCCTCCAGCACCACGACCGGAGCCTCCGTCTTCACCAACTCCTCCACAGCCACCGGATCCACCGGATCCCCAGATCTGGCCCTCATCCGAAGAAGCTCTTGCTCAGCTCCTCCTCCTTCAACACCTCTCCGATCCTCAACGATTTCCCAGTGTTTCCAATCCCCCATCGCAGCCGCCATCGAGACCTGCTCCTCCTTGCCAAAAGGTTGTTTCGCTGTCTTTTGCCGCTGTTGCTCCTCACCGCTCAAGCCGCCGCCGACGCACTCCTCATCCCACGCTCCTCAAAGGTGAACCTAGGGTTTCACTGTTTGGGCCAAATGTGGGTGGTTTTGTTATTGGGCCATGGTTGCTTATTGGGCCAAAAGATGAGGGTCTTTTTATTGGGTCTTACAATCCCAACATTCAGCCCACTCTTGTTCCTCTTTCGAGCCCTTTCTCACAATCCCTTGACTCGCTTCGCCTCAAGCCATCTGAGTTCGTCAAGCCACGCCTCGTCGTCAGCAGATTTGCTTGCTCGCTCTCCTTCTCACACACCATCCCCCCTATCATATTCCCCCAGGTACGCTCCTTTTCTCCACTCTCTGATTCTTCTAATTTGAGAAGTTATTGGATGGTTGTGGAGAGTGTAGCTTTGGCTTTGTGGAATTTGATTACTTTGGATTCTTTTGGATCCACACTTGTGCTCTCTCGTGGCACCATTATCGCCTTAGTGCGAACCTTTACTGCAGTATGCAGATTCTACTTCAATTTGGCTATGTTAGAAGCCTCCTTGTGGCAGATTGGAAAGAGATCTTCGCTCTCTTTCTCCGTTCCAGTTATTCTGGTTCATCGGGATTTTTATAGTCCTCATCTCTCCTTTATGGAGCTTATTATCCTCCCAAATACTTCACTTGTGTTGAGTGGTATTGTTATAGGGAGCATTGTTGTCAAGACTGTTTTGCTTGGAGCAGAAGCGCGGATTATTATTCATGATGGTTCCCGTTCAACATTTGTTGGCTGTTTGACTTTGGAGGCTTTGTTTCCTCCTCTTTGTGGTTTCGGCAAAGACTACTGTTTTGAAGATGTTTGCTTTATCGGTGGCCCTTGTTTAGATTCTGCGTTGGTAGAACTCTTGAGTTCACCCTTATCCCTAAGTCTCTGTTTGAGATTTGTTGTTGTTCTTAGTTTATCTTCTTACTCGATCACTTTGTTGGTCGTGGTATTAGATGTTTGGGCCCCTTGTAGCCTCGTTGTATTCTCCGTCTTTTGAGGTTAACCTTATCTTTAATATAAAATGCTAAGTTTGTCCAAAAAAAAAAAAAAAAAAGAAAATGTAAAGTAAGTTCGAAATCTAAATCTTCTTTCTCATCAGATGATTCCAATCGCATCTGATTCGTTTTTCTAATCTTTCAAAATCGAATCTCCTTTCTCATACTCTGTTTTGATTTCAAGACAACTGTTGATTCTTTTCCATTATCTGATTAATTGGTCTGCTGTGATTACAGATTTTGGGTTAATCTCCGATTTGTTTTATGCCGGAAACAAAAGTTGTGGAAGCTTTTGGAACAGACGGTGACGTACGGTGGAAGAAAAAGTTGTAAGTTTTATAAAATTTGTATTCGATTTCTCTTCCGTACGTATTTCTTCATAATCTAGTTGTTGTAATTAAATCATTGATTCTAAAATTATCTGGAATTTGATTGGATTGTGGAGAAAACTAATAGTAATTAGGGTTTGTTGTGTTCTTAAGAAGTCAAATCTCGTCAACGATTTATATTCTTTTACTGATATAATCATTATCTTTTCTAAAACTACAGATTTTGGGTTGTTCTATGATTTTCCCAATCGCACTTTGGAAATTTCTTGCTCGAGCTCGGACAGATTTTAATCTGATTTTACTTAAAAATTATACTTTAGTATTTATTTCTGGTAAATCTGATTTTTAATGCATCTATGGTAATCTGGTATCATCATGAACTTGTTGTGGTTATCAATTTAGTCGTCTTTAGCATGTTTGATTTTTAGCATTATCTGAAAATTGATTTTGGAGAAATTAATTTGGGGATATTGTGGTAATTTGTTATTGCATAATACGTCAAATTTAGCATAATACGTCAAATTGCAGATGTTGAGAGTACAATGATTATTTCATATAGGAAAAAGTATATAGGCATGTTAAGTGCATTATTTCTATATACGCTTTCAACACGTACCTATTTCCTAAAATTTCTAAAAAAATCATTTCCACGTTTCCAAACGCTTCCGCGTATCCGCTTCTGATTCCATGCAAAAGGTATACAAAACTTTAAAATCTTTTACACCATGTTTGCCGAATTTAATTTTCAGATAATGCAAAATTTTAGAAAGTCATAATCGTTCATCGTGGTCTTATGTATTACATAAAAATGTGTTTATTGTAGGGATGTCGTACATGCAAAACCATTTCCACGTTTCCAAACGCTTCCGCGTATCCGTTTCTGATTCCATGCAAAAGGTATACAAAACTTTAAAATCTTTTACACCATGTTTGCCGAATTTAATTTTCAGATAATGCAAAATTTTAGAAAGTCATAATCGTTCATCGTGGTCTTATGTATTACATAAAAATGTGTTTATTGTAGGGATGTCGTACATGCAAAACCGTTCGTTATGATTTTGAATGTTTCGAGAAAAACTGCGTCGTGGAATCTTTGTTCGTGAGATTTAGTCACCATAATCATTGTTCGTGGGATTTAGTTTACCATAATCGCCGCAAGCATAATCGTCACTCGTGGTCTCGTGTGTAACAGGGGAAATATGTCCATTGTAGGAATGTTGTACATGCAGGTCCATTATGATTTTGAATGTTACAGGGAATCATTGTTCGTTGGAGTTGTTCACCATAATCGCATATACGGCAAGTAATTGTTTACCATAATCGGTCGTCGTGGTCTCTCGTGTGTTATAGAGAATATATGTCCATTGTAGGGATGACGTACATGCAGAATCGTCTATTATGATTTTGAATGTTTAAGAGACAACTACGTCGTAGAATCATTGTTCGTGGGAGTTGTTCACTTTAATCTCATATACGGCATGTAATTGTTTACCATAATCGCTGCAAACATAATCATCATTCGTGGTCTCGTGTGTAGAGATGTCGTACATGTAGAACCGTCTGTTATGATTTTGAATGTTACATGGAAAACTGCGTCGTAGAATTTTAAAAATAGTAAAATATTATTTAATTTACTAATCCACAACCTTAATTTTGTGGGAAAATTTTAGATCCCCAAATTAATTAAAGATATTTAACTACTAAACTACTTGATTGTGAAAACAAACATAACTTGCCAATTCTATATTTGATCGTTAGAGGTGCTAGGTTTAATTGTTTCACACTGCAATGTAAAAGTTAGTTTCTAGATTAATTTGCCAATATAAGTTTCCTCTTTATACCTATCCACCAACAAACTACACAACTTTTAACTTTAAACAGATTTTAGATTGCCAAGTTATTTCAAAAAGAATACATAGGCATGTTAATTTTGTGATACAATTTTGTGTATTTTTAAATATTTTGTTTCAGTCAGCCTTTGATTCAACATTTGATTAAAAATAAATGCTTCTATTTTTGATCATGCTATAGAGTTAGGTTCCAGTTACCAACTTACATATCACGTTTTATATATTTTGTTTTATAACTCAAGAATAATATGACCATTGATTATTTACCTTTTTAGAAGATGGATAAAGATGTTTTAAAATTTTCAAGATTTTTTATGATTTCATAAAACAAAAGTTTGATCCGTACAATGTATTCGTTTTAAATTAAAATTTTAAGTTGACTTTGGTAATCTTCTATTTTTAGTTAAGTGAAAATTTAATAATAAATAAACTCTTTGTAGTGTATTATTCTTAGGAACTATTGTTTCACATTAAATTTTAATTTTTGGATTTATAATTTTTATAAATCTAGTCACATAAATTGTTTTTTTCCTCTACCATGCATTTACTTTTTACTTCCATTCTAAACCTCATTAACACATTCAAAATTTTGAAATATGATCATTTTGAAATTTGTTTATGTGAAAAGCTATTTCTTTCTGAACAATTCTTGGGTTCACCCCCTCTTTAATTACCAGTCAGAATTTGCCACGTCATCTAATTAAACAAATTAAAATAATTAAATTAAATTATTAAAAACCTAAAACTAAATTAATTGCATGGGCCACTAATATCTCTTTCACGTCTCTCTCTAAAGTTTTTTTTTTTCAAACATTGTCTTTCTTCTTTTTTAGTGAAAAACAGAAAAAAAAAAAATAACCAAAAAAAAAAAATGTCACGTACATAAACCAAACAATTTCTCACTTCTATGATATTCAATAGAATTACATAAACCAATAATCTTCTCCGGTAAAACTAATCTCTTTTGATTATAAGTGAGAAGAAGAAAAGAAAAAAACTATGAATAAAAAATTAGGGTTAATAACTTAAAAATTCAGATTTAGGGTAAGTTTTATTTTTTCCTTTTGGATTTAGAGAGAGAGAGACGTGAATGAGATATTAGTGGGCCATAAAATTAATTCAGTTTTGGGTTTTTAGTGATTTAATTTAATTATTTAATTTAATTATTTCAATTTTTTTAATTAAATAACATGGCAAATTTTGATTGGTTATTAAAGAGAGGTGAATGAATTGGGTAATAAAATTTTCACAATATTGTTCCGTTCTAGTATTATTTGTGATAAAATTTTCACAATATTGTTCTCACGATTTTAAATTTAATTTTTATAATTTAATTATTTTTTGTTAATTATATAAGTAAGATAAATATGTATTAAATAAATATTTTAAATATACCTATATTAAAGAATGTTGTTATAATGAACGCTTAGATGGACACTTTAGATAGAAAGAGAACTCTCTAATTATATATGTATAGATTGTTTTATATTTTCTTTATTTTATTCAATAAGCATGATTTTGAAATTAAAGATAATTAACAGTTTCAGAGAAAGGAAAGTGAGAACATGTGAAAACAACTCTGAGAAGAAATATCAGTCATCTCGATGATACTACCATCATCAAGCTTGAACACTTTAAGATTTTCGCCATAATCATAAAAGAAGTAGATAGCATTCTTCAAACATCCATGGTACTCAGAGGCTACGACCGTAAAACAACTGTCCCAAGCAACAATGAGTGCCTTGTCTCCCAAGGAACTAACCTCAACCCATTTTGCCAAATCCTCGTCCATCTTATAAACCTTAAAACCAACGGTCCTCCTGATATAATGTTTAGTAACGCTAAGTTGATGCACAATGCATAGATCTCCACAATATTCCACGAGCCTCGTGTCTTCGCAACTATCATAATTATAGTAGTCCAATGGAGTTGAAGGTGTCTGTTGAACAGCACTAAGCTGTGATAAACTAATCCACCAAGTTGCTCCTTTTAAGTCCACGGCATAGATACGTCCCATGTGAAGTATAATGTCCGAGAAATCTTCGACTTGGTTATTAATTTTTGTCCAACTTCTACTTCCGTCTCTAGTCTTACAGCACCATATTTTCTTATCTCGGTTGATTGCAAAAAACATATTGTCTAGGAAAGCAACTCTATAGAATACATCTGATGGTGTCTTGTCATACTTCATGTCATAATTAGAGAATATATATGATGGTATCTTTTCGTCCTTCAATCCATCAAATATATTAATCTTGTAAGATTGGCGAATCTCTGAAACGCCAACCTTCAAAAGGTCTAGGGTTTGGTGGGAATGGATGATGAGCTCGCCAGAGATAGGACTCAAGAGAGTAATCTTACGATATTTGGAGGCTTGGCTAGTTCTTATTAGCCATCCATTGTTAGGACATGAAGAAGGGAGAGTTATACGGAAGAAAGTGGTGGGAAAGAGATGAGCCTTTATCTTCTTATTGGAGGTAGGAAGGTAGCGGTTAAAGCGAAACTGAAGACGCTCTTTAGACATCGTAACCGTAGAACGCCAGTATTTACAGATGCTACGGATACGGAGGACGTCGATGTTGGAGGAATAACGGTTTGCAATTAAATCTAGGAGTTCTTCAGGTAAATCAGACCACTCAGTTTTCTCCATCTTTGAATTTATCGTCGAGTTCTCTCTGTGTTGTTATCGTTGCTCAGAAAAACAACTTCAAAACAAAGCCCCGAAGACTGAAACTTGAAAATATATGCAAGATTTCCAACAAACTCATGATATGAGAAACTGACACGTAACATGTTGATATACTTAAAAAAAAAAATTCGATTAGTTTAAGCTATAGTAAGATATAGAAGATCGTAATATTAATTAAAAGTTTGTTAATGTCATTATCTTTTAAATGTTAGTTGTTTAGATTAAATTGTTGATTACTTTTTGTGACTTGTGCTTTTTTCGTTTTATCCCAATACTATTATTTAGTTTTAACTTTTTAACAAAAGAAGATACCATAATTTAATTTCATTATAGTTAGTTATACTTATACATATCATTATTTTTTAAACTATGTCACATACACTTTTATCCTAATTTTCTATCATTTAACGAAAAAACAAAATTTAATTACTTTACTCTAAAATAATATATAGAAGATTCTAATGTTCATTAAGTTTGTTAATGTCATCTTTTTAAAATATTAATGACTTACACTAAATTGTTAATTACTTTTTAGATAATAAAGTAAGGGTTTTACAACCATTGTGTACTTTTGAAACATATTAAAACTCATAATAAACTAATCAAAGGTATATATTTTACTATAAGATTCAACGTACATGATGGTACGGGTTCTTACCTAGTTAATTAATTGAGTTGTATGATGTACTAGATTCTAACCCGCGGTACACCGCGGGACTATAATTTTATTTGAAAATTATCTATAGATATGACATATTATTTTGTTTGATTTAAATGTACGTATATATGTATATATTATATATATTACCCGCGGTAATTATTTTTTGTTTTGTTTAGCATTTAAGATTTTATAATTGTATTTTGATAGTTAATTCTAGGATTTCACTCGTAGTATACCGCCTCCTATTAATATCGACTCAAACCCGTCCTACCATATAACCCCGTCCAGTGAAATTAAACATCATTTTGTTATCGTTTTTTATAATATTTTAATTTTAAAGATATATAATTTGAGTCAATTTAAAAGTTTATTTTGAATGGCTCCCATAATATATATATATATATATATATATAATTGTTATAGAGTTCAAATATCATTAATATTGTAAACTTTTTATAGAATTTAAATATTATAAATACTTATAAACGTTTATACATTCTTATAAAGTTTAAATATTTATAATATTCGAAACTTCATAAAAGTGTTAATATCGACCAAAACTTCATAATTGTATTTTGATGGTTAACTATAAGATTTCACTTGTAGTATATTATTCCGTATTAATATCGATACAAATCCGTCACACCATATAATATCGTTCTGTGAAATTAAACATCATGTTATTTTTCTTTTGTTTAGAATACATATAATTCGAGTCAATTTAAAAGTTTGCTTTTAAATGGTTTCTACAGTATATATATTTATAATTTTTATAGAGTTCAAATATTATTAATATATAAACTATTTATAGAATTTAAATATTATAGATACTTTAAACGTTTTATAAATTTTACATATTTATAATATTTAAACTTCTTATAAGCTTTAATATTAATAATATTTAAAATTCTTAAAAAGTTAAAATATTTATAATATTTGAAACCTTATAAAATAATAATAATCTAAAACAACATATTATTCAGTAGACATAAATAATATTTATATATTTGGTAATAATGTTTTTTGGAGTTAATCTCATTTATAACTAAACAAATTATTTATTGCCAAAATGAGGTTGGTTTATAATAAGTAATATAGCAAAATGAGTTTGTCAAATAACGAATAGTAACCATAATTTAATTAATGTACATTAAAATAAATATATTTAAAAATGAATTACTTAAAACAATTGATTTTGTCACTTGATGGTAAACCACTAAATATTTTCTGTAAACAAACCAAATAATTTTTTAAATCAATACTAATTAAAAAAGGTTCTAAACAGGTTTAAAAGAAAAGAAATGAATCTTTACCTCTAAATAATGAGCTTGGAATTTTGATACGTACCAAATCACAAAAAAAAACCAATCCATCCTCTGATCCACCGAGAGGACGTGTATCCAAATTAGTGAGGCAACAATTAGTTTTAAATGACTGTTTAAACACAAAACAAACAACCATTACTATTGTAACTAAGAGATATAAGTTAAGAAGCTACAACGGATTATTGTTAACTCTACCAATATTTTCACACTCAAACATGAGCCATCTTACCAAGACAATAAAAATCAAAACCCTTTTCTAATTTTTCCAAAACCTGTAGATTAAGGTAACGTAGAAGGACCAGTTTTTGAATGCACTGGAAAGCTCCTCAATTCAACGTGAGGCTATCAAACATATGTAAAGCCATAGAAAGACGAAAGTGAGTTATTTATCAAAAAAAAAAAACAAAAAAAAAAATGAAAGTGATTCAAATCAAAGAAGAATAGAGAAGAACCTTAGTCCAAGACATGTACAAAATGAAGCCACATGGAGATGATTTGAGGAGCTGAAGGACGGCGAGAGTGGAACCATGCCCATTGATTTGATGACTAAATAACCTCATGTATATATATATAGAGAATAAATAGTTTATTGATTTAGGTCTTGTTATGATACAATATTAAAAAAATACATAGATTTGATGAGTAATTGTTATCTTTAAGTTATATATATACGTGATTATTTTCCTTAAAATTCTCCAACAATTATTAGGTTATGTAATTGTTTTAAGAAATTATTTATTTTGCAGCACATTTGTCGTTAGAAAGTTTTTAAAATAAAAAGATTTTTTTTTTAATTTATTACATTTCAATTAATGATGGATCTTTAATTATGAGAAATCATACCAAAAATATTTGAGGATCAAAAATGTTTTGGTAAGATTGTTAAGATATTATGTTAAGATTTTTTTGGCAATTAATATATTTCATTTGAATTTTCTAATCAAAATAATTAATGCCATGACATTCTTTGTAAATACTTAGTAACTCTAGGATTTATTTGCTAAGTGTACTCCAAAAATGTAAATATAGATAGTAGAATATTTTAGGGAATATGGTTACATATAAGATTGACGGATTTCCAATTTCAACAGAGCATTATTTTAGGGATAATGACTATTAAGATCAATTAATTAAGATTTTAGTTGTTATGCCAACAACTATTCGAATTGTTTTTTTAATTATAGTAGTTATGGTAACTACTATTTATTAGGACGCTTAAATATATTCTGGTTTCCTTATTATTTCTTTTAATCGTTATTTTTAAAAATTTCTAGAAAGAAACCGTGGACAATTTTTGGAGATATTTTTTGCAATGTTTGTTGAGCACATTATCTTGTATTTAAATTTTTTAATCAAAATAATTAATGCCAATGGCATTCATCCGTAAATACATTCCAACTCCAGGATTTATTTGCTAAAAGTCATCCAAAAATGTATATATAGATAACATGAATTCGGAGAAAGAAAAGAATAATTAATCAGATAAATTACTTTTTTTTACACTTTTTAAATGGTTAATGATGTAATATAGTTCATGAAATGGTTAGAATTTCTGCACTAGTTGTGGTAATAAGAATTGTATGCTCAAACTGTGCGGCCGGACCACCATCTGCTGTCACAATTGTCCATTTGTCTGGCCACATTACAAACTCGGTCGTTCCAATTGTGAGAATTGGTTCTGTGCAAAAAGGAACCAATCATTTTGTAAGAAAGTATAATGTGATTCATCAAATTTTCTATATAGAGAATAATACTAACCAAGCGTAAAAGTTTGACCTTCAATCATATATTCAAGTTCATAATCATCTGCACAAAACAGAGTTTTTTCAGAAAAATTCCATCATAAGGAAGAGTTCTTGCAGAAAAGCCAGTTCATTACTTACAGTTACTATGAAGATATATAAGAGGTTCCGAGTGTAATACCGTTCCTACACCATGACCGATGAAACGCTCCATATTATAGCCATACTTTGCAGCATGCTCACTGTTGGAAACTGGAAATAATCAAAACTGATCCTCCTAACTTCCCTATATATCTTATTGAATCCGGTTAGTACTATTTACTACCTGATTATCTTCCCAATTTGTTTGAAGCTTGCTCCATCTTTACAAACCGATATACCTTTCTCCAAGCATTCTTCTGTCACCTGTTTAGAACAATAACCAAGTCAGCCTCTAATGGTTTCATAAGAGTTGGAAAGTAAGAGGCACAAAGGAAAACACATTAACCTTCACAAGTTGTTTAAGGCTTTCATTGACGTCTCCACATATGAAAGTCTTTGACGTATCTCCATGATATCCCTGATTCAGAATGTTAAACCCCAAAAATTTACATCCAAAACTTATTGCAGATTAGCAAAAGAAGCTAAGAAGACTTACATCCAAGTAAACTGCGACATCGATGTTTATTATATCTCCATTCTGAAAACAAGGGTTGTTGATTAGTGATATATACTACAAAAGAGAATTCTCATAGTTAAAAAGCAGTTTCATACTCCGAACCTGTAATGGACGAGAATCGGGAATCCCGTGAAACATACATTCATTAACCGATGTACAAACACTTTTAGGAAACCCACCATAACCAAGAGGTGAAGGATAAGCACCAGACTCAATAATCATCTGATGCACTGCCTTGTCAATTTCATCTGTAGTAACAAACGGCTGCAACAAAACAAACCCATTAAACCAAATTTAGAGATCCACAAGAACAAAAGCTAATCTTTATACTTACTCTAACCAAAGTTCCTGCATAGTCTAACACACGAGCCGCGAGCTTGCACGCTTTCTTCATTTTCACAATGCCATTAGAGTCAGGAATCTGTAACTCACTTGATATCATTGGTACTTTGCTAGACTCAAGATATTGAGGCTTTGGTATATGATCAGGAACACGAAGACGAGGCGATACTCTTCCACATACTAGAGGTGGATTTATTCTATCTTCTAATGTACTTTGAAGTTGTTGAATCCTACAAAAATGCATCAAACTATGATATATAAATTTGTTGAAAACTATATACTAAAATTTCACCTTCATTTAAATTCAGTTTTGTTATATACCTTTTAATCCTCAGAGAAGATGATTTCTTATTGACTACAATAAAACAAATACATAAACCTTATTCGAATCATGATTCAGAGATTCCCAAAATTTCTCGAATTCAATCAATTTTCTCGAAACCTAAAGATGAATTTGACGAAACAAAAAGAAGCAAGTAGAGAAAAACCTGAGAGAGGGAAAGAGAATAAGTTAGTCGGAGCTCCGGCGAAATATCTCGACGGCGTTAATTTATCGCCGTTAAATAAAGAACGAGACTGAGAAATCTTCTGCAACATTTTTCGCTGGTGTGAATAAGCAACGGACCAAAGAATATGAAGAAGAAACATTTTAATGGACTTAGAAATAAATGAGGCCCATTAAAATAACGAGTAAGGCCCATTAAAAATTACAGTAATTAACTAGCTCATCTACATATAAATGATTCATGATTGTACATTGCATATTAACACACAAATTTGCTTAACACCTAATTAATTTTTTCCCACTTGTTACAACTTACAACATTAATAATCTCAGCAAGAAGTAAAAAGTTAAAATAAAAATAAAAAAGTTTTTTTTTTTTACCAAGAAATTAAAAAAAAAAAAAAAAGAGTTGTTAAAATTGTTATTACAAAACTCGTTGCTTCTTCTTATTACACCTTAACGACGAAAACACCTCCGTTGCTTCCTTCAGTACAACGACGTCGTTTAAAGAAATGTCAACCCCAAACAATCTCACAACCCGACCTGTTTCTTGATCCGACCCGGATCCGAATTTCGATTTCCAACCAATAAACAACTTTTGATCCTGACCGTTGGATCTTTTAAAACTGATCAAATCACCGGCACAAAGTCTCTTCTCTTTAACAAATCTACTCCAACCTTTAGTCAACACATAACTTTGACTACTATTCCAGTAAGAGTAACGGAACCTCCACACTTTTCCGTTAACGTCTTCGAAATTCAACAGTATACCTTTAACGGAGACGTTATTATTACCTAACGGTAACGGAAAATGTTTCTCCGCTTGGTGTTTTGGTATAACTAAACGGTTTAGTTTCCCGACGTCACTTGGCGTTACCGTTTTCTCAAACAGTAACTCCGACGTTTTAAACCCCGTTATAACCGCCACGGTAACGGAACCAAACTCCGTCGTCTTGTTTCCGTTACCGTTACGGTTACGTTTCCTTTGCTCTAACTCTTCTTTGTAAGTGTGTTTTCTCAACATATCTACGATCTCTGATTTCGAATGTGCGTTTAAGAAATCAACCTCGTCATCGTCGTTACCGTTAACTAACGTCGTTTCTTTAAAATTTGTAACGGCGTCACGGCCACGGAAACGGTGAGCCGCGACGTCGTAAGCACGAGCTGCTTCGTCTTCTTCGTTGAAAGTTCCAAGCCATACGCGTTGGTGTTTCTCGTAAATCTGAGCTCCCCATCTTCCATTTGGTTGAGGAACAACACCTTTGAATCTTGAAGAAGGAAGCTTTCTTGATTCTGCCTCGACACCGTTCTCTGAATCAAGAACCACACTTGTTCCGCTTCCCATTCTGTATAGTAAACTCGCCGGAGACGATGACTTTCTCGCCGGAACCGAATCTGTAGTTGTGGAGCTCTCGTCTACGCTACTCATGGCATCCATGTTATGCAACGAAAGAAGAAACTGAGAGAAAATCACAAGAAAATTGTGAAATCTTGAGAGATTAGTAATGTGAAATGTGAATGTATATGTGTGAACGTGTGTGAATGTATGCGTGTATATATAGAGAGACAAGAGGGAAATAAGAAAACATCAAGTGTGCATGTATGTTATTAATTTTTTTTTTATTTACTTCCTTTTTATTATTTGTAGTGTGTTTTAAGGAGATAAGTATAATATATGGGTAGGTGTATGGGAATAGTATGGGTTTGTGTGTATATATGTTGTGGGTCAACTTAAATACATAGGAAGGTTCATGCAAAAGATAAAGAATGCTTTAAAAAAAAAAAAAAAAAAGTTAAATTCGCATTTCCATCTTAGGTTTTCTGTATCAAATAGAAAATAAAATAACTCAATCCTTCATTGTATACAGAAAATTTTACGTTTAAGAAAAGGATTCTAATATCTATGATGCACATATTAAATATATAACTTAAAGTATCCTCAAAAAATGAATCTAAATTTATTTTATATTTTATAATTAATCAGCAAAACTTGTTTGATCTTAAGTTTTTTTTTTCTTTTTGTGATTTTATGATTGCTCTATTATATCATTCCTTTGACTATTTGACATACCAATTATCACGAAACTTTTTTTTTAGATAAATTTTGTTGTTGTCAACCTTTACTTAGATGATTTAAAACATAGAAAATATTTAAAAGGAATAATTTCATTGTTAAGTTATTACTAGATCTGGACCTGCACGTTCGTGCGGAGTAAAATTTATAAAACTGCAAATCTTAAAAGTTTTAAATTGAAAAATAGTGAAAAGTTATATGAAATGTCAAAATATTATAGTTTTGATTGATGTAAAGTAGTGTCACATTAACAATTTTATTTTAGGTATTTTATTAATAGTTTGATGTAAATGGGTAAAATTATGGTTAGTGAAGGGTTCTATGTAAATGTTTTAAGAGAATTGTGTATTAACCATGGGAAAACACATAATAATTTTTTAATTGTAATAATAATAATTTCCTGAATTATATTATTTCCTGAATTAATCTTAAAACTGATTATATTATTTTATGGTCTCACACTTTTAGTGTAATGATACATAGGTTTTATTATGTAGTGGGCAACATTTTATGGGCTACTAATAGAGTCTTATTAGCCGAATATATATTTACTGATATTTTGACATTACTATATTTAATTAAAAATAAATCAAAACATGAGAGGAAAGTTTGGATTGTCTATGGCTCATGCATTTCATTCAAATCACAAAATATTTTTGAGATTATGATGTATCTAAAATTCGTAATTTATTCGAGGAATATTCTATATTTCAAAATACAAAATATTTGGTTTATATTATATTTTGGGAAATATAATAACTCTTTTTTTTAAAACATTGGAACAAATTGGCTTTTTATTTCTTTCATCTAAACTAATCAAAATTAATTAGTATGATTTTATTATGGAAATTTAAAAATCAAAAATAAATTATCCTTTGTTATTTTTTAGTTATATTAAATTGTACTGTCGTTTTCGGAAATATCTAACATTACTTTGCCAAATTAAATAAGTAAACATATAGAAAATTTCAACTTTTTTTTCTTTCCATCTATACTAATCTGAATTTATTAGTATAATTTCTTAAAAAATAGATTTAAATCTAAATTATATGATGATACTAAATTGATTTTTATTTTGTTTTTCCGGAAGTATCTCAATATATATTACGAAATTAAATAAGTTTACATATATACAATTTTGAAATTAATAGTTAGATTTTTTGTGGAAACTGCTTTAAAATTTTCCATAAATATTGGGTAGTTATTAATTTGTTGATTTTATAGAAACTACTTTAAACGATTTCCATAAATATTGGGTAGTTATTAAATTTGTTGATTTAATTTCAGATTTTTTTATATAAAAAATACAAATATCAAATGGACACAAATACCATTTTTGCAATTTTTTTTTCCTTTTTCAAATTCAAAATATCAATGGCATTTCATGTAATATTCTACAACAAAAAAGTTTTTTTATTTTCTAGTGATTCCCAATTAATAGTATAGATACTCACGACCAAAAAAGGTGATATAAATATGTTGTGGGCTGCATGGGGAAGTGGGGTCGGCAAATGGACCATAATAGATAAAAGAGAGATTCACATGAGAAATAGAATATTTTTTTAGATAAGTTCATCTCCCCTGATGTTATGATTTGCTAATTTACAAAGTTGAGGATGGAAGAATCTTTCTTTTTTAGGTACTATAGAGATGCTAATTAATATGTTTGTCTTCCAAATCTCAATGAATTTTGTTCCGTGAGGATATTTTTTGCAAGCATGAAGCCTTCATGTAGATACAAATGCAATTGTTCAATGCTCTTGAGATAATACCTTTTTATTATTATGTGTTTTTAATATATATATATATATATATAGCATTATGGAAAAACTATAAAATTTACCACTTATTTCCAATTTTTTTCAAAATCTATCACAGTCTTTCATTTTTTTCAACTCATACCACATTTAGTATTTGAATTACTAATTTGCCCTCCCTATTTATCTTTCCAATTTATCTCTCCTTCCTATTTATCTTTCATACAACATTAGCTTCCCTATTTATCTCTCTCACTCGAAACATGTGCACTTTAACCAAAAAACATTATATCTCTTGAGACTAAACAATTAACTTTCGTTTTTGTCTCCAAATCTTGTCCCCGATTGGAAATTCTCTGTTGCGTCTAGAGTTTGTCCCCGATTTCATCATCTTTCTATTATCATGAATCCCACATCTTGTCCACCAATAGTTTTCATTTAAAGGTTTCGAATTTTATTTAGATTTTTTACCATCTATTTTGGTCTATAGATTAGTTGAGCATTATTGTCTTCACCTACCCGAATTATTGAATTTTTTTCCTTCTATTGCAAAATAACAAAATGATCCAGTTGTCCCCGAGTACTATTACTCATTCTATTACTCATTCGATATGAACTTCTCCCCGATCGAATTCTATTACTCATTTGATCTGAACTTGTCTCCGATCTAATTCTATTACTCATTCGATATGAACTTGTCTCCGATCTAATTCTATTACTCATTCAATCTGAGCTTGTTCCCGATTAGTTGAGCATTATTGTCTTCACCTACCCAGATTATTGATTTTTTTTCCTTCTATTGCAAAATAACAAAATGATCCACTTGTCCCCGAGTACTATTACTCATTCTATTACTCATTCGATCTGAACTTGTCCCCGATCTAATTCTATTACCCATTCGATCTGAACTTGTCCTCGATCTAATTCTATTACCTATTCTATCTGAATTTGTCCGCGATTGAATTATATTACTCATTCGATCTGAACTTGTCCCCATATAACATATTATTTAAATAAAATTATATGCAATTGTAAACGTGCAACATTTATTGCAACTTGTTCCTTTATCTGACACAGCAGTCTATCCCTTTATTTGACACACCAGTCTGTCACCATCAAGGACAATTTCGTCTACAATTTGTATGTGGCAATGAAATGTGGTAGATTTTGAAAACTTTTTCCAATTGTGGTAGATTTTGAAAGTCACTTTTCAAAAAGTGGTATATTTTGCAAGATTCCCTAACATCATGTCCGTGCCTATATAAAAAGAAAATAAATATTTGCCTACGTTCAGTTTTTTTCTAAAAAAAAAGTATGAATAATTTATATATAAATTTCTGTATAAAACTAGTACAGCCATAAATCCATGCATTCATAAGCTCATTTTTTTTGTATTGAAACATGACTTTTTTAATTTTGGGTAATGGAATTTATGAAGTCTTTTAAATTTATAATCAACTTAAATTTTTCAAATTGATCTAGCTTCTTTATTAAAAAAGATGATGTCAAAACAAAAACACAAAAAAAAATATTGGGTGTGACTGGTGAAAATTTAAGTAGAATTGAGAAGAATTATAAGGAGAGAAGAAAATAAATTTTTAGAAGAATTATTTCTACTTTAGTTTTGTAGAGGGAAAGTTTTCTCTACTTTTTGGCTTTTTCAGAAGAATTGAGAAGAAAACATTTTCTTCTTGACTGGTGTAAATGTAGAAGAAAATTAATTCTACTTTTTTCTTTTCTTCTATTAATGTCTTCCAGTCACACCCATTTATTACAGCGCATGGGACAACAAATATCTATTTTAGTACTTCCTCTCTTCCTAGAAAATTGATGTTTAAGAGTTTTCACATATATTAAAAAACAATAATTGTTTAATTATTTGTCAATTACTTTTTTATATTAAATATTTTTTAATAACTTTGAAACAAAAGTATTAGAAAACAGTTAATCATTATCTTCTGAAATTTACGATATATTAATTTTAATCAATAAAAATAAAACAAAAAGCTAAAAAATCAAACTTTGTGCAATAAACTTAAATTCTACAACATTAAATATCTACAAACAGAACTAGTATTAACTAGTAATAGGTCGAAAATAAAATCATTTTAGGATTTGCTTACGTCTTCCGACTTTCCCTATTTAGATCCGTCATCGCTTGTATGTCCAATCTTTAATGATCGTTATAATATTATTAAAGATTATAACGATCATATATACGTCAATACTCATATATACTTACAGAAATGAGAAATGTCTATTTTTTTTTTCCCTTATGAGAAACATATGGGTTCGAATGGTGACAGCATATTTGGCTTTATAAGAAAAGCGGTTTTTCTATGCGGTACGGTCTAACTGCGGTACTAGCGAGGAAAATGTATTTGCGGGATAAGTGCGGTTTTTGTAGAATAAGCGGTACCAAATAATATTTGATTGGTGAAAAAATAATTTGCGGGATACATGTTGAAGTTTTAAAAATATAGTTAATCTGTTTTTGATTTAAGTATATATATAACTTATTCCATTTTAATAATTTAATGTAATAATTGAGTAATTTTTGGTGAAATTTAAATAAATATAGTTTATATATAAGACAATTATTTGAAAATTTTAAAATATAAATGACTTTAAATTAATATTAAAACTTTCAATCGATTTAATTAACTATAATATTTGAATTTATATTATGAGTTATGTATATTTTGTTGTTTGTATAAAAACTATTGAAAGAAAATTAAAACTAGAGAAAAAACTATTCAAAAGAAAAAATTAATAATAGTTGACAAAAAAAAAAGACTAGATTAATAATAAATGTGCGGTTTTGTTGAAAACCGCTTGAAAATAACTCCGTCCCT